TACAGAGGTAGAGGTCGTGGAGGCTTCAATAGGGGCAGAGGTGGTCGTTCAGGAGGTAGAAGCTCAGTTACTTGTCAAGTTTGTGGGGAAAATGGTCACAGTGCACTCGTTTGTTACCACAGATACAATCCAACCTATACTGGTACCAATCCTTTTCATATGCAGCAACAGCTTCCTCGTCCTATGCAACAACCTTCATCTTCATATTCTCACCCAAATCAATTTCACCAACCTCAGTACGAACCAAATCAATACCAACAACCACCTTCACATCTCTACTCAAATCAATACCAACTGCTTCCTCCAAATGTAGCAAGATACTCACCCAACCAACCACCTTATCCCTATCCACAGCAAGGTAATCATCTCTCACAACTCAATTCATCCCCTACTGTGCCAACTGCAGCCTGGGCTTGTGCAAACTCTTCTATACTAGGACCACCACCAAATTCTCAGAACTGGTTCCCAGACTCTGGAGCTACACACCATGTTACTGCTGATCCCCTCAATCTCCAACACAGTGAGCCAATTGCTACCACTGATAAGCTGTTTATGGGCAATGGTCAAGGTTTGGAAATTAAGTCTATTGGTTTTTCATCCTTTCCCTCACCCTATCAATCATCTCTTTCTTTATCTCTCAACAAAATCTTACATGTTCCTGCTATTACCAAAAATCTGTTAAGTGTCAGCCAATTTGCCAAGGATAATAATGCCTTTTTTGAATTTCATCCTCATGAATGTTTTGTTAAATCCCAGGTTTCTAAACAGGTTCTGCTGTATGGAATACTTGGTGAAGATGGTCTTTACAAGTTTCAATCCTTTCCAGCTCTTGGTTCTCACAACTCTACTTCAAATCTGTCCAAGTTTCATCCCCATACATCTGTGTTTCCTAGTTCTCTTGTATCTACTTGTAATAACTCTCAATCAACCTCCAGTTGTAATATTTGGCATTTAAGGCTAGGTCATCCTCATTTTGAGGCCCTTAAGTCTGTAATGAATCTATGTAATATTCCATATATCAATAAAAATGCTATTGACTTTTGTTCTGCATGTTGTTTGGGTAAAGCTCACAGACTACCCTCTTATCCATCTACAATTGTTTTTCATTCTCCTTTTGAACTGATTTATACTGACTTATGGGGGCCAGCTCCTATTCAGTCCTTTGATGGCTACACTTACTATATATCCTTCATTGATGCATTCACCAAATATACCTGGATCTACTTTCTGAAAAAGAAATCAGATGCATTCTTAGCCTTTCAAAACTTCCATCAATACATCCTAAATCAGTTTAACATCTCCATTAAGTCAATCCAATCTGATTGGGGAGGAGAATTCAGATCATTCACCAAGTTTCTCATGGAAAAAGGTATTAATCATAGAGTCATCTGTCCTCATACACACCATCAAAATGGTGTTGTTGAAAGGAAACATCGCACCATTGTTGAGAAAGGTCTATGTCTCCTTGCACATTCTTCTTTGCCTTTCAAATTCTGGGACACTGCCTTTGCCACTGCTGTACATCTTATCAACAAACTTCCATCAAAATCTATTGCAAATCTCAGCCCACATTTCAAACTTTATGGTACTATTCCTGAGTATACCTTTCTCAAAGTTTTTGGTTGCTCCTGCTATCCTTTCATTAGGCCTTACAACAAACATAAAATGGATTACCATTCCAAGGAATGTGTTTTTCTGGGATACTCCTCTCATCACAAAGGCTATAAATGTCTCTCTCCCTGTGGCAGAATTTATCTTTCCAGGGATGTTATATTTGATGAAACTAAATTTCCTTACACTACTCTTTTTCAATCCCCATCCAGTTTATCTTCAAGTGTCCCAGTTTCCTTATCAGCACCAATAGCAATTCACTCTCCTTCTCATTCATCTTCATTCCACTCTGACAATGGTGCCACTCCTACATCCAATTCCAACAGTTCAAACTCTTCTTCTAATCCTTCATCTACTCCTACATCTTCATCCAATAACTCTCAGTTTCAAACTGATCATCAAATTCCTCATCAACAATCCTCCCAATCTGAGTCAACTCCTTCTAATTCATTTAACAATAACACTGCCCACTCTCACTCCTCCTCATCTGATTCTAATCCTCCTCCACCTCCAAGTCCTCCTCACATATAGAGCCTAAACCTAGACTTAATCCCACCTTACTGTTAGCTCATATAGAGCCTAAATCAGTGAAGCAAGCTCTCTCTTCTCCACCTTGGCTTGCAGCAATGAAATCTGAATACAATGCGCCCTAATTGCTAACAATACTTGGACTTTAGTGTCTCTTCCTCTAGGCAAGCAGGTTATTGGTTGCAAATGGGTATTCAGAGTCAAAGAAAATCCTGATGGTTCTGTGAATAAGTTCAAAGCAAGGTTAGTTGCCAAAGGCTTTCATCAAAGGTTTGGTTTTGACTTTGGAGAAACCTTTTCTCCAGTAGTTAAACCTGTCACCATCAGAATTCTTCTCACATTGGCTGTCTCTCATCACTGGTCTATACAACAACTTGATATCAACAATGCTTTCCTAAATGGGGACCTTGAGGAGGAGGTCTACATGTCTCAACCCCCTGGTTTTCAAGCTAAGGACACCTCCCTTGTTTGCAGACTCCATAAATCCTTGTATGGTCTAAAACAAGCTCCAAGAGCTTGGTTTCACAAACTCACTTCAGTTCTGTATAATGTTGGTTTCAAACAAAGCAAAAGTGATCCTTCTCTTCTTATCTACCTCAAGACTGGAATCCAAATCTACATCCTAATCTATGTTGATGATATTCTGGTCATTGGAAATAACTCCACTATCATACAACAAATCATTCAAGCCTTAAATTCTTCTTTCTCTCTCAAACATCTGGGGGACATAGATTTCTTTCTGGGCATTCAAGTCAGAAAATTACCTAATGGTTTTTTGCATCTTTCCCAAACCAAGTACATTACAGATCTTCTTCACAAAGTTGGAATGGCTGATTCCAAGGGTGTGAAAACACCCATGGTGAGTACCTGCAAGCTTACCAGTGAAGGGAATGACTCTCTACCTGATCCTTCTTATTACAGATCTGTTGTTGGAACCCTACAGTATGCTACCTTAACCAGACCTGAACTCAGTTATGCTGTAAATAAAGTGTGTCAGTTTATGGCCAATCCCTTACAAGAACATTGGAAAGCTGTGAAGCATATCCTGAGATATCTTTCTGGAACCATCACTCATGGATTACTGATCAAACCTCTTCCTTTGACAAAAACACCTCTACCTATCACAGCCTTTTGTGATGCTGATTGGGCATCAGATCCTACAGACAGGAAGTCTACATCTGGGTCATGCATTTTTCTGGGCCCTAATATTATTTCTTGGTGGTCCAGAAAGCAACTAAGGGTAGCCAGATCTTCAGCAGAAGCTGAATATAGAAGCCTAGCAGATACTACATCAGAAATTTTATGGGTTCAATTCCTTCTCAAAGAACTTCAAGCTCCTTTCATTCTTCCCAGAATCTACTGTGACAACCTTAGTACAGTGCCACTAGCTCACAATCCTGTTCTGCATACTCGTATAAAACACATGGAAATTGATCTTTTCTTTGTACGAGAGAATGTCCAACTAAAACAGCTTGAAGTGTTTCACATTCCAGCCTCCCAGCAAATTGCAGATGTGTTGACCAAGCCTCTATCTGCTTCCACCTTTCTTGAGTTCAGAAACAAACTCAGTGTGATTGATTTTCCAACTCAATCACCCTCAGTTTGAGGGGGGAATGTTAGGAATAGTGTAGGAAAACTACACTTGTATTTCTTTGTAAAGCATTGTAACTGCTTTCTGTTAAGCTTCGGTTATGTTAGCTATGATTACCTCCTGTATAAATACTCTGTAATATCTGATTCTAAGTAAGATGATTTCATTTCTGCTTCTACCTTGCTTCTTTTCTATTACTATGCATAAACATGGCACCTATTATTCCAAAAAACTTCTACCTCATTTTCATTTAAAGGTTCTCGTAATAAAGAATCACACGATTATTTAGATAATAATTAAATAAAGTAGTTTGAGTATATTTTGAAAAATAATTTAAGGGAAAATCACACTTTTAATCCCTCAAATAGTCACCATATTAAAATGTCAGACTCATGTTACTCAGTTTGTAAATATCACCCCTCAATTGTCTAAATCGCTGTAAATGTGGTCTTTTAAGCGATGAAATGTACAATGTGGGCGGAGGGTACATTTCACCTATCAAAGGATCACATTTACAGCAATTTAGACAATTGAAGGGTGACATTTACAATCTCATAACATTTCAATATGGTGACTATTTCAAAGACTAAAAGTGCAATTTTCCCATAATTTAAATAGGTATATAATATAATGGGGTTAACATTGATAATTGAAATGTTATAAATGTATTATTTTTAATATTTAATGATTAGTTTGTCATTTAAGATTATTAATTGTTTCGTAAACTAAAAAAGAGAACCTGGGATGTCCAAAAAAGAAAAGTGGAAATCTCTTCTATGGGACGGAGGATGTGCAACTCATTTACCCTTATACTTGGTATAATTGAAACTGACAAATTATTACACAATTGGGAGTATCTTTTATATACAGTAGAATCCTAAATAATCTTCTTACAATTGAGCCCAAATGCTCAACACAATAATCACCACAACTTCGCTCATGCACTAACCACAAACGTTCAGTCGCTCATTGATCCTATTACCATAGTTAGTCACCGATTAAGCCGTGACTAACTATGGTGATGAGCCGATAATTCACGTTTTCAATCCACTGACTGGTAATTAGCTTATGTTACGATCAACACCTAAGACACTAACTGCATAACCGTTGTTGGATGAGTAACTATGAAGTCAGTAGCTGATCAACCCCTAAGAAACTAGATTACTAAGCACTCGTAAGATGCGGTCATGGACAACAAACTTTGCGATAATGATAGTACTGACATGGTATGTTACTTCGAGGCGTGTACCCGCCTTTTTTCAATGCCTGCGGGCAACTTTACTGCATATAGGCATATATGGTTCATGATTATGTAAATGTGAAAATGCACCCTGCGTATACATCTTTAAAAAATTACCATTCGCATATCTATTTACAATCACTTCCCCCTAATTCTATATCGTAATCCTGCAAAAAATGCCATCTAAAATGAATAAAGTTACAGGTCCTAGTAACTAGATGTCAGATGTATTTGCAAAAGAGGGCTTCAGTGCGTTGAATGGATCTGAATGCCTTAAGACACAAAGATGGACTCAAAGACACAAGAGGCTGTAGAACATTAAGGGTATGAAGGCATTGTCAAGTTGAGCTGTGTAGGCCTCTAATAGACCACTAAGCGTCACAGCCAAAATGAGGGAGAACAAATTCTGCACATAAAAACAATCACTCACATTAAGGTCATAGATGGAAGTAACTCACATAAGCAATGGACAAAATATACCTTAGACAAGAGGTAGCCCGTAGTCGCAAGTAGTGGAAGTAGAACTGAGCATGCAGCTAACACAGAAGTTATACCAGCAGCAGTTCCTTCAATGGTTTTCTCTAAATTTAAAAAAACAAATAAATAAACTGCTCTCATTAATATGTCATGCATATTAATGAGTACAATACAAAGACAACTGAGGATGGAGAAGAAAAGAAGACTTACTGCCAGTTTTACTCCAACGTAGAACTCCATACTTGTGGCCAACCAATGAAGCCTACAAGAACAATCAGAACTGAGTGAGTGAAACACCCCCATTTCTTTCACAAGTGCACTCAAAAACCATATACACTTTCATTCATAGCCAGCAAAACCCCTAACGTATAAAATGACTCTTTAATTGGCACTAGTAAGAAAAAAGGCTTGTTGTAGTACTAGGAAGAAAATGTCAATGGGACTAGAAGTGGAATTTATTCGAATCTATATAACTTGTTATCTCTATTCTAGAAGCGCATTGCTTAAGAAACATGACACTCATCCAAGTTCCGAGACTTTCACTTTTAAGTTTAGCATACACAAGTTAATTCTATGCTGGCAGACCCTTGGATAGCCCATCCAGACCCCACATGTGGGATGGAACAAGCTATTGATTCACTACAATTTAGAATGTCAGTGGCTGGGTATAAGTTTTGTATGTTATAGAAGACTCAGACTCAGAGTATTTGATGTATATCCCATCATATCATAAACAGAGCATCTAACTTGCTAAAGATACAAACCTCAAGTGCTTATACGTGAACTTAAGTACAAACCTTGAAAGCAAGCATGATTTGAAATTTTATTTAAGGCTTTAAACAGGATGTGCAGAGATGAGTCCATAGTCCATACTGATGCCATGACAACAAATGCTTGAACATTTTGTATATGGAGTTACCACTGTTAAAGCATTTGCTTCACACAAGCATCGCACTTGCCCTTGGGGGGCACGGATACACTGACACTTCAGTCAACCAGTCAATGTATGCAATGAACGATAATTAACGCTGTATATTGTGGTCACTCTCACACATTCTCGGTTGTCCAAATCTAAAGGACCAAGGAACTTAACATGAAAAACCAAAAAAAAAAGTCAAAACAAAAAGAACGAATGAAAAGTGTTGTTGTGACCGAGGGGTCACGAGTTCAAGTCTTAGGAGCGACCACTTATCAAAAATTTGACAGGGGAAGGCTTGCCCCTTATACACCCGTGTGGTGGGACCTTTCCTCGGACCCTCACCTTGTGGGGATGCCTTCGTGCACTGGGCTACACCTTTTTAATTGTTATTAGTATCTAAATAGGACCAAACAAACTCAGTATGTCCCACTCCAGAGCAAGGTCCCAGATGAATAAAATTTCAGTACATGATAGATTAATGTTTAAACAATCACCTCAGAAATATTATCCACTACCTGAGTCCTTTTTATTTTCTTTTGATGTTTCTATTCTCTGCATGCTAGATCCTTTTTCTATCTTTTTTACTTTCCCTAGTTTTGCATTTGATTTGTATTTGATTATCTCCATCAAATTTGGAACGGACAATATAGGAAGACTTTGCACCATATATTGGCCGCTTTATAAATTCCTCAAAAAACAACATATCATATTTGCAGAGGAGAAAATATGCCACTGCACACATTGACTGTCAATACTAAAATCAAAGGGTGAAGAAAGTTAGCTTTGTCACCATTGTATCTCCAATTCCAAGACTTAAGATCCCTGCAAAAGGGGCGAGTGGTCGATCATTGAAGCCAGAAGACAACCAGATTGGAAGCGCACATCCCAGTAACAGTGAAAAATGGCTGAATAATGACAGAAAGTCAGAAAAACACCAGTTGTTGAGAAGACCAGGGTAGAATCGGAAACTCGATAAAGGGGACATCATACCTCACAATAAGAAGATCAGAGTCACGGTGGTCAGTAAAGGCATTCATAAATTGGTGCACAAGCTGCCCCAATGGCCAAACTCTCCAAACCTGCCCATAAAACCAAAAGGTATTCAACTTCATGAAATCAAGCAGTGTGCAACATTGGAGATCACTTATAAATGGGGGGAACCAATTCCATGCATCTAACATTCTAACCTCTACATTTCCAGAAAAGAGAAAGTAATCATGTGTACTTGGCACTTACTCGAATAATTTCTACCAACATAAAAACAGCAAAAGCTACACCAAATGCCAGATCAAGAAATCTTGGCTGCACAGAAATGGCAGCAAAAAGAAAATAAATAGTAAACTGTAAAACAAGTATTATCGAATAAAAAGCTTTAAGTAATAATTTTCAACTTTAATCACCTGAAATATTAATGCTGGAATAAACATCAACACTGCCAACAGATGGTAATACTTCCGAAGAAGAATTCTTTCAAGCTTACTCTGTTTAGAAATCTTGTAAAACCGCACAACTGATGCACATATAAGAACCAACCAATATATGCATAAAGAGAGACTCTTTGATGGTTCAGAGAAGACAAAGTTGAATACCCTGAAGAAACAGAAGTTGTAATAAACGGTCCTACTTCATGTGAAGCTACTTGTTGTAGAAATGAAAACACTCTACCGAATAAGTTTTATACATGAGTAGTTAGTAGGACTACCATAAAAAGGGGTGCATCTGAAAATTTTGAACGACTTCCATCCATGATGGGACAACCCCAACCAAAAATATTGCCGATGAAACATAGAACACAAAAGATCTCCGGGTTCCACTATCTGCTCTTACTCCAGGATATGGAAAGAACGTCAAGTGTTCCAAAACTTGAAGAATAGATTTTGAAAAAATGGGAAGAACAAGCAGACCAATCGTCATTCCCTGGACAAAATGAGAAGAATTTTATTATGAATCAATTAGTCATTTGCTCTGAATGAATTGGAGAAAAGGTTACACTGGTGATCATGATACTTGCCAAATACCTGAATAATGGTGCTGGTCTCACTTCTTGATATATAATGTATTTCAACAGTAGTTGATAAGGGAAGGTATCTATGGGTCTGCCAAAAGAAAATTTTCTGATTTTAAATAATTAATCACACAAAAGTAACACTGACTATATTCCATGAACAAAGCTAAGAGACTTACCTTAGAAGCAGTATACACAAACGCGTCTCCAAGGTAGGCAACAAGACCAGATGTTACCAACAGTGCCTCTCCTAAGAAGAGATAGGATTAGTAAGGCTGACCAAAACAATCGCAACAAATGAGACCAAGCTTCAGTATGAGTTGTTATGATTGAGAAAACATAATGTTAGAATCCTGAAAAATCTCCAAATCTAAATATCCAAGACTGGTATTATTATAAGTTAATGCCAAAAAAAAAGAAATTTCAAGCAACTACATATGGCCCTTGGTGCATTTGAATTATGAAATATATACTCATTGCAAAAATTACATGAAACATTTGATACAACAACAACAACATCCAAGCCTTAATCCCAAAAGAATTTGGGGTCGGCTAACATGAATCGATCTATGATATCGATGCCAAAAAGTATTTGATATCGAAATATTTGATAACAACAAAAAAATATGAAATGGGTGAATAGGAGCCAGTGAGCCACCAACATGAGATGATATGCGGAAAATGTAATATAGAACACAGATCTACCAATGGAAGCGCATGCCGGAAAAGTTTTGAGGATATGCATAATTAGTTTTACAGCTGCTAGACCATGAAAAGAGAGCCATGACAACAAAATTGCAGCATTCCACCCTACATAAGATAAAAATTCATAAACATCAGAACTGAGAGTATCACAAATTCCATTTGTGGAGCTATAGGAATAGAATGCACAAAACAGTTCATCATTTCATCATTTTCATTTACCCCAGTGCCGCAAAGGCTCCCACCTACGGTGGGGTAAGGGGGGGTCGGATGTACGCAGTCTTACCCCTGTACTAAAGCATAGAGAGACTGTTTCCGGATGACCCATAGTGAAAATCGCATCCAAGATTGCATGGACTGACTGCTGCTCCATAACAAAGAAGCGCAGACAGTTTAGTGAGCCATTTTGCTTTATTCCATCATAATCTCAAGCCAAAAAATAATGAATCTTTGGCTCCAATGCACAAAACAGTTAAAAAGAGAATTTTAAACCTCTGCTAGTTCAGAGGAAAACCACTCTGGTGATTGAAAAATACCTCCATGGGATGGCTGATAACAACAGACACAGCATATTCCTATGTAAAAACATATGCAGCTTATGATCCATGAAGAACTGATATAATGGCTGAAGCATGATTGACGGAAAAGGACAAGAAAGAGGAAAACAACCACACTGAAGCAAATAGCAGAGGTGACCCAGTACTGTACTTGAAGATATTCCAGCTCTGTGAAAAGCATATAAGAAAATATTGCAACTTTATAAGTAACTATAGTTTCACTCCATTTCTAACAAGTTTACAGTATATATGTGACCACTTCTGTTAGTTATGTACTTATGTGTAAGAGCTTGGTGAAGAGAGAATAAGATGGACATGGCATCCAAGGACCCTTAACTATCAGTAAAAACCAACTACGCATGCAGTTAGATTACTACCTTCAACTCCAACTTCTCCAAATGGCAGAGCTCTTGACAATTGAATCAACTTTGAAACCATAAGCCCAGGCAGTGTTACTGCCCCCAGAAAAATTCCTGATGAGGCTCCAGGCCTAACCACAACAAAATGCCCGAAAATTTCAGAAATGAAAAACCATGGTTTGTAAAATTCTTTTTCAATTCAACAAACATACACACACAGAGAGACAAAGTAGGTCCAAATTTTACAAAAGAAGATACAAGTACTCTTTCACCATATATTTCAGTAAGCTCGATTTTATCTTGATTTTATCCACCATTATCAACAAAGTAAATTTCAGTGATTCACTTGACTTCTGATCTGTGCAGTAAGATAAAAAAAAACTATCTTTTTGTTAAATATCAGTAAACTAAATTACCAATTCAGCATGCTTACCCAGTTTGCCTAAATTCATGTTTTCATAACAAAAAGCATAGAAAACAAGCCCCTATAAAATCAACATATAAACCCGTCGGTAACAACAAAAAATCGCAATTGTTCGTGAAGAATTATTTGACATTCCCATTTTTTCATTTTTTACCTGGTTTTGAATGTTTGGGATAGAAGACTGGAGTGGTTGTCGGCAGATATCTCGACAGAGATGGCGAGGATAGAGAGGATAGCAAGACAGATAGATTCGTAAAGGATAGAAAACGGGGCCAAATAGATAATCCGAGCCACGAAGATCACCAGCACGGCTCTCTCGCCGGTAAACAACGACGACGTAGCCATAGCACCTCTGCTCTTCCGTTTAAAGTTGAAACTCTGCGATTGGATTTACAATTGAAACGAGATCATCTTTTTTGACTCCGTAATATGGAAGAATTATTATTGAGTAACGTGCAAGAAGATTCTGGTGTGAATAGCGATTTGGCGCGCGCAGAGATTTCATAGTTATTGTCAACTTGGCATCCCAGACGACTGACTTTGCCTGCTTCATCGTTCCTCTTCTGAAAGTCTCACCACGTCAATTTGCGCTTTTCCTACATTTTGATTGGTCGGGAATCGGGATGACGTCTGAGTTCGGCTACTCCCTCACTAATTTTTCTTCCAAAATAATACCGTACACATTAAAATTGTGATGGAGAGTTATGAAAAATGTGGAACTATAAAATATTTGTTGTGAATCATAATTTTTCATCAAAAAGAAAAGGTGAAAATTTATTTTAGAACGCTGAAACAGTTAGGAAGTTTTTTCAGGAACGTCGTGCTTTATTTCAAGTGATGCTACCTCTTCATCTATTTAGGGCAAACTCATCTATTTGTGCCAAAAAGATCTTACTATTTAAAAAAAAACAATTAACCTCAATTGAAAGGACATCCAATCAATCTCATCAACACATTCAAAAGTCGAAAATCCTCTTTTAAACGTGTTTAATGACTAGTTAGCAGTTGAACTGACTATTAATGTTATAATTGATAGCATTGACTAACGATTATAATGTCTAATAGATTAACGATTTATTCTTTCCCAGTTCTATTTAACCCTAAATTCCAATTTGTAAAGACCAAGGACTATAGCTTGTAGAATGATGGTACACGATGCGTGTAAAAGCAAAACAAACGGAGACCCGGAGAATATGAAAGTGGAATTTTCTTTTACACTATTACGACATTACTTGAACTAGTCTTACATTTGTCCTCCTCCTCCTAAAGGTTAGTACACACATGTGTGTGTGAGAGATGCTTTGTATCGCAGACTTAACATAATCATGTAATTTACCAACAGGGTGTGTGAACGAGTTGAACTTATAATTCACCATGAAGGGAATTTTATTTACACCCCGGTCCTAAGTGTGTGTACAAAGACGGTGTAGTAGATTGTATACACAATGGTCCATGTTTAATTTGCTACTCATGTCTCATGAGTGTGGTAATTATGGAAATATCAATGGGCTCTGTTTTAAGAAATTCAAGGACCCTATGGAGACTTCACACGAGCTCTTCAAGGATGAATCAACCTTAGATTTAATTGTTATGGCGACAAGTTCTAACAATGAGACATCTTTATTAAACATTGGTTATACGATGTTGATTTAATTGAAATATTTCCCTTACATGTACCAATTTTTGAGTAAACGCACGTTGAGAAGGATGTTGGAGGTTTGAATGAAGAGAGATACCAAGAGGCTAGTGATGAAGGGAGCATGAGACACTAACAGTGAAGAAGACCAAACACATAAGGTTGTGTGTGGTGATTGTCAAACAAATTTAACTCAAAATGACAAACAAGATTAAAGGGAATAGGTTGTGTATATTGAAGAGGAGTCCGAAAGGGGAGAGGGGGATCATGAAAGTGAGATCAAAGTTTACGGGTTTAAAAGAATTAATAGTCAAGAGGACGTCTTTGGAGGAGAATCTAACAATGCATAGATCCATGAAAGGGAATCTAACAATGCAAGGGGAGACTATGTAGAAAATGAGGACCGTTGAAGATCTATCTTAGATAATGAGGAAGATGATTTATTGTGGGACATACGTTTCTTTTCAGATGAACAAGAGGAAGTAGAATACCAACACACTTATAAGAAGACCATTGATGTGAATAATTCCAAAGATTGGACTGGATATGATTCTTACCGCCATTCAAGCTTACATTTAGAGGAGAATGTCTAACATGGGAGATGTCCAACAAAAAAAGTTAGGTATACATCTCATATTATTGTGTTGCTTCTAAATACTCCACATTATCACTATTAATATACAACAACTTTCAGCATCTAAACCTTCGAAAGCAACCCGAATCTAGTCCACCAATGATGTGCATGTTCTTACACAACGAGGCCCAACATACTCCACTTGTCCTTCGCCTCATCACACGTTTGAAACACATGCCGCTCACATTCCTCTTCCTTTTGACATTTTTTTGCACACAACCGCAACTTTGTACTCACTGTAATCGGAGCTCATCAGTCATTGGTAATACCTCCGACATAAGCTGCCAGAAAAAGTATTTAATCTTAGGTGGAGTATGAGAATCCCACACTTCCATCCACCCTAAACACCCTGATTTTTGGAACTCCCCAACAAGACGCCTATAACAACTACGAACTGTAGACCTTCCCTCATATCATCAGCCCACCAAAACGTGTTTGGATAGTCCCTCATACTCAGAGGCATACTAAATATTGAGTTAACCTTGCCACAAGAGAATGACTCATGTAACCTACTCAAGTTCCACTCCTTTCCACTCTCATCAAGCAGTGTTGCCATGTTAATGTTTTTAATTCTCGGTGGCCAGACGTATTCAATTTCCTTTAAACCCAGTCCTGGAAGCCACTTTTCACCCAAACCCAATTTCTCTCCCATTACCCACCCTACGCCACAAATTTGCTCCCGCCACACCTTATGCCTCCAATGTACTCCTCCAAACAAAGGAGGGATTACCTCTTAATTTCGCTTCTAGGAAGGTAGAGATTGGAAAGTCTCTTGGCTTAAAAACACTAGAAACCAAGGAATTAGGCTCTGTGATAAATCTCTAAACTTGCTTTCCTAACATAACTATGTTAAATTCTCGCAACTTATGAAATCTCAACCCCCAATTTTCCCCGGCTTGCACATAAACTGCCAGTTCCACCACCTTATCCCCTTGTATTCTGATAGTATAGAATTGTTACTGTTTTTTTGTTTGTAATTTTAACTAGTTTTATTTATTGTTGTTTGGGAAATTACACAGTTTTGGTGTAATACTTTAATTTTTCTAGATTATTGTAATTTATTAGTTTTAAAAGATCTTGAGCTTGAATAAATTAGTGTACAACAAAAGAGCATGGAAGAAATCTTACAAGATCAAAGGAAGGTGCAAGGGAGGAAGAAATCATGCAAAAAATGTTATTTGATGACTTACTAGGTCGGGTATAATCTTTACCCAGTCGGGTTTGAAGAGAAAACGGAAATTGCATGGAAATTGGGCACATACCCGGTCGGGTATGGTACTTTACCCGGTAGGGTATGAAGTAACCCGGACAAAAAGACACGCTAAAACACAAGAACGTGGAAGATGGATTTGATTTTGACCGATACCCGGAGGGTATGTACCTATACCCGATCGGGGTATCCAGCCAAATGTGTTGAAAACACCTATAAATAGCACACTTTTTCTTCACTTTTAATCATCCTTTCTTTCATATACTTAAGCTCAACTTAGAATAGTATTTTGTTTATATTTTTCTAGCATGTTTAGTCTCCAAATGAGGAGCTAAGCTCTCATTTATTGGTTTTGCTCTTGAAGCTTGTTGAATGTTAAAGTTGTGAGTTATTTTTTTACTTATTATCTTGAATATTAATTCTTCCCTTATTCTATCTCTATATTAATGCTGGGAGGGTTGTTAAGATGACAATTAGTTAACATCTTGACATTAATTACTATTGGAAATGACCAATGAATTGATGGTTAGTCATTGATGGTTTCACAAGTAAGTAACTTGGAGTTATTAATGCACGGTCGTGGTTAATAATCTTAAGATGGATTAACTGTGTTGGTTAAACCTAAACCGTTGTGTTGAGGTTATTAATCTCAATAGATTTCATCAAGAAGTTCAGAGATTAAATGTTACTATCAAGTCGGTATATGGCGGTGTTCTATACTTGGCTAATAGTAAGGGTTATTAATGAACAGTCGTTATTAATAACTAACCTCGATGAATTGGAGATACTCCCCGATTGAGTATTCGAGACGGGATAAGTTATAGATATAACTGGGATCAACAAACATATCAAAGAGTGGAAAGTAGCTAAGTCAAGTCTTTTATCTCATTAATTAATTAAAATCATATAAGTCGTTCATCTTGGTATTTAATTAATTAAAACCAAACAATCCCGAAAACCACCTTTTAGTTACTAGTTTCGTAAAAGAGAAGTATTCTTTTCACTGTGAATACAAACTCTACTTCACTATACTACGTATTAGTGCTAATATTTAATTTACTTTGAGGCATGCAACGACTTTAGTGCAGTCATATTTGACATCGTTTCCGGGGAAAGGAAATAATTTTTTTTTGTCAAAAAAAGGGAAAAAAAGATTTTTACTATTATTTTCTGAGTTTTGTGAGTATATGGTAAAATTTCATGCGAAATAAATTTCAAAAAAAAAACATAAATGAACCAATTCGTAGCAATGTTTAACAAATAATAAGTCATTGAAAATAAAAATATATACTTAAAGATATAGATTTTAAAAGGAAAATAAATTATTTTTAAAGAATTAGAGTGAAATTCAGGGCATATCGTACAAGTTAAAACATATTTGAAAAAAATATTCAATAACCGCTCGGATCTATTGGTTTAGTGTGTGTGTGTGTGTGAGGATTACTACAGTATAAGTCATCAAGAATAAACATTAAAAATAGAAATCTTCAATGAATTAGATGATGTATAGGTTGATTTTTTAACCAAAGATGACTTAAAATTGGAAACTCTTGAAAGGGTATTGAAAATTTTAGTCATAACATTAGAGGGTCATAAAAGTTTGAGACATACATGCTATCCAATCAAATAAGAAAACTCAAATAAAAAAATATTTGGCCTTACCATTTGCCACAAATAAGTGTCCACAGATCTGAAAGCTTTGTAGCTTCGTTAAGCCGTCCTCACGCGTCACCGATATGGAGTTGCGTTCATAAATAAGAAACCAATAAAAACACACATTATTCAAGTGCACTGTAATGAAATAAGTATTCAATAAACAAGAAAAAGCTAATAAAGTGTACTGATCAAAAGGATGAAACGGGAGAGGAGGGAGCGTTGAAGCAGAATGTGGAGCTCGATCGCGGCGGAGAGTGAAGTGATTGAGTGGGAGTGATACTCTCTCTCTCTCTCTCTCTCTCTCTCTGTGTGTGTGTGTGTGTGTGTATATATATATATGTGTGTGTGTGGGTGTGGTTCTATATAGGTCTAGTCATCTAGATACATGGATGTGTGGGCCGGATACATATATTGTAACACCGTCCCCAAATATATTTACTTTTATGTAAATCATGTATTGAACCTTGTGAAATGGTTAATGAATTTACGAGGTTGTAAATTCTTGTTATTTCTTTTTCGTGAATAGTGAATTGCACATGGGGCCCACATCGGGA